GTGTATATGCTCCAATCATCGAGTGATTTCTGCTGTCGTAACAATACTAAATGTGAATGTTTTTTGCTACCACATTTTTAAATTTGTTGTTAACATAATTCGCTCATAACAAGATGGAAAGTAAAACCTAGGGTATACTTTTTCGTTGTTATCTTACCCACAGAATCTTATGTCGATTTTTACCTTACAGTGGTATGTATTAGTACACTTTCTGTTCTTTTGTGGAACATTTTAGGAAGATAGCTTCCTTTTTCATGGATAAATTTGGGAATAAGCCCAAACTGAAAACTGTGGAAGTTAGTAAGTTCTTCAGTGCAATGCAGACTTCAGGATTTTGAAAGAGTATGAAAGTAAAGGGATGACAGATAGATGAGCTTGAGAAGCTAAGGCTTTTTTTTTTTAATTATTATTAAAGGATATGTGGAAAGAAACTTGAAAGTAAATTAACCATTCTTTCTAAAGAGTTTTATATTTACTGCTTAATGTTTTCATTAATATTACAAATGCTTGTCTGTAGTACAAGGTTCTTTATCAGTTAAACACATTTTTTAATTGAGATCATGTAGATTCTGGAAGTGGAATAGTTTGTAAAAGCTTATAAGACACACACACACACACACACACACACACACCCAAAAAAAAAATGCATGAATAAGTTATAAAACAGTTTCGTTTATCATTATACAAATTTTCTTCAGCAGTTGCTACAGCCCACAGTTCCAATTTAATTTTTAATTTCTTGCTGGACTCAGGTGCTCATATTTATACCTGAACTTGAGTAGTTTGAAAATGCTCTTAATTTTTACTGAATTTGACTTTAAAAGCAACAGGGCTACCAAAGGATTTTCCTTTTGTAGGGTTGACTAGTAAACCAAATTCCAGTAAAAATTCTTATAAAACCTAGTATTATATTGCCATACTAAGTTTGTACATTTTTTTAAGGTGGAACAGACAACCATCTGGTTTGGGTAGATCTTCGTCCTATGGGTTTGAATGGGTCCAGAGCAGAAAAAGTTTTGGAGGATATTTCCATTGCTTGCAATAAGAACACTGTTCCTGGAGATAAAAGTGCTCTCAATCCAGGTGGAATTCGTTTGGGAACCCCTGCCATTACCACTCGTGGCTTGATGGAGGCCGACATAGAACAAGTCGTGGAATTCATCCACATGGGTAAGAATAAGTATTTATTACCTAAGAACCTGGAAACGGCACATATCAAATGTTACCAATCATAAATCTGGTAGGTTTAAAGTTTAAAAACCAGGATTTATTGCTTACATAAAACTTAATTTTTATTAGTGGGTTAGCTTGCAACCAACTACACTTCTGGCTTTTATCCACTTGACAGTTTAGCACCAGGTGAATCAGTATGGTAAAATCACTTACTAACTTGACAATATGAAGATTAATTAGATTCAAGACATTGCTTCCTGAATCACTCATACAAGTTAGATTTTGAAAACAACTAAGAAAAAAAAAATCTTGGCATATTTTCAGGATAGTTTATTATATAAAATATTTCTGTTATTATTGAATGTAAAATGTTGAGCAGTATTTACTGTAACCTGTTTCTAGTTAAGTTTCACCCCAGTGAAATTTGTGCTAGAGGATTGTATTCAGTTGTTGCATGACTTCAACTTTATCTCAGAAGCATATATTGCAAGTATAGATATGTCTACTGAGTGTTACAGAAATAGTTTTCCCATGTTGACTTTTAATATAATCATTATTATCAAGCGTAAATAATAAACTTTGTACGAGTATTAATTTGACTTCAAATTTTACGTTATCAAAACTAATGTAATGTGTACATTTAATTAATTACATTAATTATAAACTATTAAAAATGTGAAAGTTCTGGTAATTAAATCTGCATATATAATACAGTATGCAGTGTTAAGTCATGCTTAACAGTTATGTTTATAAATATTTTTGTAATGATCAATTCATTGGTAGTTAACAAAAATTTACATATTAATTTTTACATTATCTTAAACTGTACAGTCAAATTGGTACAGATATAAAACTTCAGTTATATGGGTTTAGTAATAATAGTTTTATTAAAGTTCGACACAAGAAAGTTGTTTCTTGAACACTCCATACATTTTAAACTTCACGTATTAACAATAAAATAATTGTTAACATTCCGTATGAACCAATACGGGGTTGATAATGAATAAATAACCAAAATGTATTTTTATATAAGTTTTTGTCTCTGGTTTAACTAGTATGCATCTGTATTGGAATTATATATATATATATTATTGTTTATGTATCACATTTGTTTGTAAAACTACCCCCTTCCCCCCCTCACAGGTTTGACACTGGCTCTTGAAGTTAAAGCAGCTAGTGGCCCTACTTTGAAGGAATTTAAATCAACCTTAGCTGAAAATCCATCATTCCAAGAAAAACTAAAGCTGCTGCGTGAGAATGTAGAAACTTTTGCTCAAAAATTTCCCATGCCTGGATTTGAAGTTTTTTAAATAAAAAAATGAAGTGGGTGAAATTTCAACAGTCTAAAATTAGCTGCATTAAAAACTTGTTTAAAAAATCCAAAAGGTTACAAATTTTAAATTTATTCTTTTCTGTTATCAAAGTTATAAAAGGGCAATATTAAAGCTTAACAAGTAATATAAGTTCATATATTTTGTGATCCTTAAAATACAAATTTTTAATTTTCAGGTTAATATATATGTTAGTTCTTCAATCTTGAAATGGGAAATTTTCAATTTTTATACATTAATGCTGATTCAAAGAATATGTATGTGCAGACTTTACAAGATAACTGGTTGTTAGAATTTATTGTAATAGTACCTGTTTTAAAACTTTTTCACAGTTTTGTATCACATTTATATAGAAATATCTTAATTTTTTTTTGGAAGAACTGTATATGCTATTGATGGAACAAAACATTTTGAACAGTATTTTCTCACAAATGTTGATATAATATGTATTTTTGCATTAAATTTACTATTATTAAAATTGTAACTTTTCCTTTTAATTAGTTTGTTAGACATATTGTAGAAATTAAAACACCCAATATGAATAGTTCCAGGAAACTGGATATTGTAATCAAAATAAAAAGTTAATTGGATTAAAATAGTTTTATTAACTTCATAACAAATGAGGCCTTAAAATATTAAAATCTACAAATGAACATTTTGTAGTATACAATTAAAATCTTTATTTAAACAGATCAACAGTTATAAAAATCACTACATGTTTCAACGTGATTTCACATCATCTTCAGGAGTGTGAAAAACAGGTACTGTATGTTATATAAGTACAAAAATCATGGTTATGTGTCTACTAGTTTACAATTCAAAAAAGATCAAGCCATCTACATACTTTCTGATTTTCTAGCCCTTTGTTCTTATTTAAGATCAACTTGTTTTTGCTGTTTCATTATTTCAATGGTTTCTGTAACATTTCTAGCAGTCATATTACTCTGTTGAGCCAAAATAACAATTTTTTTTTCCCACTGGATGATATGTCCAGTATAATTTACATGTTCAGCTAATGTAATTTTAATTTTTTTCTAACATTTCTCTCTTATGTTCATTTATTCTAAATTTTAAGTTTCTTCTAGTTTGACCAATGTATGTATGACCACATTTACATTGAACTTTATATATATATATATATATGCCTATTTTCTCTATTAGATTTATTTCATCTTTAGTTTTATTTAATATCTAACTAATTTGATTCAACAGTCTGTAAGTAGCAATAAGGTTTTTGTTTTGTTATTTTGGCTCAACCGAATAATAATAAAATTTCAAGTGAGTTTAATATAAAAAAAAGATAGTGATGCTATGAGTACTACACCATAAAAAAAATTTAAAGTGTATTGTCAGATATTTTTTATCAAAGTTCATTAAACAACATTCAAACAAGAACGTACAGATAAAGATGCATGTCAGATGTCCAGAATGTTGAACAGAAAATGTGAAGAACTTTTACAGTGTTGAACATTATCATGTTACAACCAATAAACAGAGCAAAAAAATTTTTTTTGAAACCTA